TAATCAGGAATGAGATTTTGCAGGAAAACACCTCTCCATTTTTCTTTCCTGCCCTGTCAGGGTTCTGATTTATCTATTTGTTTATTTCTCCCTGGCTGAAGCTTGCTATTAATTATGGTTTGGATGGGGCCTTCTCCTTTTAATGTGTTAAATTCCCTCAGTGGTTTCCAGTTGCTGGACAGAGGAGGTACCAGGTCTTTCTGGTAGGGATGTCTGGCCCTTCTCAATAATTGCCTGCACTTGGTGACTTGCTGTAACTCTTGGCAGAAGGTTTAATCCTTCAATTAGCGTCACTTCCAGGCAAGGCTGGTTCCCTCAGGAGCAAACCCAGCCCAGTACTCGGGGTTTTATTTTACCTCCCCCCAGCCCCCCAACATTGGTTTTATGCTGAGATGGAGCTTCTTCTTTAAATAGGAGCTTTCCAGGTGATACCATAGTCCAAAGTACCTCCTAAGAGTCTTCAACTCCTGCTTGAAGAGGGGAGATCCAGATGAGATATCAGGAAGAAATTTTTCGCTATGAGAGTGGTGAGACATTGGAACAGGTTACCCAGAGAAGCCGTGGCTGCCCCATCCCTGGAGATGTTCAAGGCCAGGTTGCACCATGCTTGGAGCAACCTGGGCTGGTGGGAGGTGTCCCTGCCCAGGGCAGGGAGTTAGAAAGTGATGATCTTCAAGATCCCTTCCAACCTCAACCATTCTATGATTCTGTGATTACCCCACAATGCACTGTCCTCTTCCCCTTGATATCTAGAGCAATTCTGTTCCTAGATGCACTTCTCTCTCCACCAGCCCTGCTCATTGCCCAGGGGGCGCTCGCCCAGGATGGACCTTTGTGTCTTGCCTCAGTAAGCAGGCAGAGTCACAGAATCACAGGGTGGTTGAGGTTGGAAGGAGCCTCTGGAGGTCATCTAGCCCAACCCCCCTTGCTAAAGCAGTGTCAGCTCCTGCACATTGTATAGGACAAAGTCCAGACATAAGCTGAAGCAGAACCATCCTTTAGGGACAAGGGGATTTCGTGTCACCCAGAGGATGAGGGCTGGAAGTAGCAGCGCACATTTCTTTCCAGTCACCCTTCCACCCTCTACCCACCATCCTGACCCAAAGCTGGAGATAGTCTGAGGATGAAAAAGACATCTCAGTGTCTTCCTCTTCAGTAGCATGGGGGGATGCATGTGGAGAGGGTTACACTGGCACATCAAGACATGCTGGAGGATGGACTGGGCTGTCACATGCCATAAGAGAAGCAACAGTTTGAAATTGCAGGTGGACACTGTGCGTTTGTAAATGTAAGATAGCCAAGCCAAGGCACGTGAGCAAGAAAGAAATTACATAGGACTTGTGTCCAAGGTGGACAAGCCTGGCTGGAAGGTTCATTCCATCCACTAATTTCCTCTGTGTCTTTCTCTTTCCTTATTGCTGCAGGAAGCTGCTGAAATCTACCCTCGTCCTTATGCCTCTGTTTGGCGTTCACTATATTGTTTTCATGGCTATGCCATACACAGACGTGTCAGGGATTCTTTGGCAAGTTCAAATGCACTATGAAATGCTGTTCAACTCTTTCCAGGTATTGTAACTGTTAAAGTACAGGGGCAAACTATGAGAATTTCAGTGGGAACAGAAGGGAAATGAGAGTGGAAGGTGTTGTCTTTGGAAGCAGGGCTATTTTTACAATACACCAGATTTCATTCGCAAGGTGTTTTGACAGTATTTTAGCATCAGGTGTGTTTTATATTTGCAAAACACAATGTATAAAAGCTCACTGTGTCCAAAAAAAAAATAAAATATGTTCCTGTTGAAAGATAACTTGCCCCACAAAATAAATCCCTTTATACCCAGGTCAGACATAAGCTGGTAGAGGTCCACAGAGATGTGTTATTTCTCATTAGCTTCCGATTCACTTCTCCCAACTTCTCTTTCAGTCCTGTGAACGGATTCCTCAGTTGTAGGTTTGGGCAAAAGGCAGGTTCAGTTACAGGACTGCATAAGACACAGCAGCAAGAATACACAACTCTCTACAGGCAGAGCAGTGTTTGATCTTCACTGCACACCCTCCCCTGAGGGAGGAACTTTTGGCTTGCATGCTGCTACCTATCATCATGGTTCACCAGTGTGGATGATGAAAGGTGGACAGTGGGTCTGTTCAAATGACAGTTTAGAGAAACTGTAAGGGAGAAGGGGACCCAACTTGCATTCATGTGCTTTCACAATTCCTGTTGGGTGCAAATGGGACAAAGTAGTGGGTGACCTCGGCAAGACCTGGGTAAACTGTTGGCCAATGAAAAGACGTGGATGGTTTGCTCCTATCTGAATTCCTTTGCTGATCCCACTCAGACAGTTCTGCCCCACACTTGGGCTGCCCTCCTTGCAACCAGGGCTGGCAAAGTCCCATCAGGGCCATCTTCTACCCTCCTGTCCTGTAGCAGAATCAGCGACACTGGAAAAGTTTATCCAACATGTTCGTAAGCGCCTCCAGTGAGGTAGACCCCAACCACCTTCCCAGGCACCCATCACCATCTCAGAAAGTTTGCAAAAGATCTGGGGGTGAAAATAGACCTGTTGGCTAAACCATGACCCAGAGGGCTTATACAGTCTACCTACTTTGTCAATAGTCTGCAGGGAAATGGCTGAGTTTATTGGTATCTCATGCGCTACTCAGCAATGCGCAGTTTCCTACTCATATTATATACGGCATATTATGAATGTCATTGATTTCAGAGGAACACAGTGATGCTGGGCAACACCATCAGGAAAGAGACAGTCACGTGCAGCAAGATAAGCATTAATATGTTGTTTCTTCTTTCTTCTAGGGATTTTTTGTTGCCATCATATACTGTTTTTGCAATGGAGAGGTAAGTCACCAGCTTCTTTTTTCCCTCCTTTGTTAGGTTAGTTCCACACACAGATGGTAAGGTGGATGCACATCAGCATATCCTCACTTATTCTAGAGATGCAGTCCTGTTTTCCACTCAGTGAAAGATCTCTCAGTCCACGTAGAAAGTTCATAGCCTTGGTTTTAGTCATGTAAGATATCCAGGTCAATATGTCAACATGTCAACAATAAATGAGCTACTGGAAATCACTAATGGAGAAAAAAAATGTGTTTTTTTTCTTTTCTTTTCTCAGCACAAGTGCTGTTTACTGCTGCTTAATTTCAGATCTGTGGCAGGAAGTAAAGTGGATTGATAGAGTAGCTGCCTAACGAGCAAGTTCTTTTGATTATCCGGACTTATTTGACCTTTTTTTCTATTTCCAGAGTGATATGCTTTAATGTCTTTGTTTCCATTAATTGCCTCTGTGCCTGCAAACTAAGAAACTAGATGGTCAGTGGTGCATACTGGGAAAGAACAGAGCTGCTTTTGTGGCCCAGCATAAGGCTGGTGTGGTCTAAGTTTATGGACTTCAAGAGGAAATGCAACTAAAAATATGCTGCTTATGTTCTACGGTGTAAAACCAAGATTAAATCCATACCATAGGGGGCATTGATCCCATCCTAACTTCAGCCACGTAAAAGTGGGCCACTCGGTCTAAAGTAGTCATCTAACTTCTTTCTAGAGGAAATTTCTAGAGACTTAGGTACCTCTGAAGGTGGTTCATCCCCCTTATACTTGTTGTTCATGGTACCTTGAGATGACTCACTCCTGGGTGTGCTGCTCCAGTCTCCCTTAACCCTGGGAGACAGTTAACCCATATTTTCAGCTAGATGTTTTCACTCATTCAAGCTTACCCATATCAAATATTTCATTTGGAAAGGTCAGATTTAGTGTGAATTTACTGTTCCTTCCAATTTCACACCCGTTCTGTCTGTGGATACCCTCACCCATTCTGTCTGTGGATACTGCTGCCTTCTAATGACTCTCTGCCCCTCTGTCCTCCCACTCATGCTTTTTTTTTTTTTTTCCCTTGTCTCTCAGGTCCAAGCAGAAATAAAGAAGTCATGGAGCAGGTGGACATTAGCACTTGACTTTAAAAGGAAAGCACGAAGTGGGAGCACAACCTACAGTTATGGACCAATGGTTTCCCACACCAGCATCACAAATGTAGCCACAAGAGGGGCACTTGCCCTCCATCTCAATACGAGACTTATACCAGGGACCCTCAATGGACACCGGAATTTGCCAGGTTATGTAAAAAATGGCTCCATTTCTGAAAACTCCATGCCTTCTTCTGGACCAGAGCAGTACAACAAAGATGAGGAGTACCTGAATGGCTCCGGGCTTTACGATGGAGACAGACCCACAGTACTTGTTGAAGAAGAAAGAGAGACAGTGATGTAAAGAGAGGCGGAGCAAAAGGATGAAAAAGGTTCCTGGAGAGCATTTAGTGGGCAAAAGAATATCAGGCCACACATCGGATGCCAAGGGTTTCCATACAATTTCTCTGTTCCGTGGAACGAGAGGTTAAGTTATATGGGAAAAAAAAAAAGCGAGCCACCAATGTGGCCAGCTGTCGATCACATGCATATACTCAGTGATCTAAGTCTCCCTGGTGTTAACGGAGGCAGGGCTGTCCAGACCCGCAGGCCTTGCTACCTCCTGAACGACAGAGATACTGAGAGTTCACGAGGGAGGGTTGCAAAGCAGCACGTGGTCCTTGGACCTCTTGGAGAGCGTGTGCAGCCAAGGAGGACAGGAGTCTCACTCAGTAAAGCAAGAGTCTTGCAGGGAGTGTACAGTGCCATCTTCTTGCGAGGGTATAAGCCACCCGGGGCATCAGCGTCTTCAGTTGGGTTTGCTATTTCCCTGTAAAGTCTGCCTGGTAACACACACAACACTGATCAAGACCCCTTGGGGGTCATAGCTGCCCAACCTTGCAGACAAGCGTTCAACATGGACAGCTCAGTACAACCCATTGCATGTTCTTCCCTTGGGCAATCTCACTCCTTGGCAAAATGCTCCTCTGGGGTGGGCAGGCTTAACAACTCGTGGCTGCTGGATGAAGGCAGAAAGCTCTATTCTCCTTTCCCTGACTTGAGTCCCAGTAGCAAGCCAGAAACCAGTGCAATTTTAGGATGGAAAATATGGTTATCAGAATGTGCAACATTTTTCTTCTTCCAGATGCAGCAGTGGAGAGGGGTCCACCAAGTGGGTTGAAGCAGGGCTGGGGATTTGCAGATCTTGGGTATATGTGCCTCTGCATGTGTGTGGCTAAAATCAGTTCAGAGGGTAGCAAACTCAGCCCTCCCTTTTTGTGGATGCTCATGGAAACAGGCTTCAGTCATTTTTTAAACCTTCAAATTCCTTCTCATTCTCATCTCTGAATTTCCTGTTTTTCACTCATCCAAACCCTCATGAGGAGAAAGACTCCATGAACTGTCTGCTTGTATCACCCAGAAGCACAAGCTGCTGGATACACCCAGACAAACCTACCTTCATGAGATCTGAAGGCAAAATTTGCTGGATAAAAAAGCACAGGAATTGTTTGTGGATGGTCTCCCTCTGAGCATCTTCTGAGCTTTTCTATTCTTTGTGGCTTGGTCACACACACACATATGCACACCCAGTCAGACTCTTAGCTGGTGTAAACAAGCATAACTTCAACCAAAGTCATTGAGTTTGCCTAGAAATGCTCAGATGAGGAAATGCTATTGGGTTGCCTCCGAAAGGAAGAGCACAAGGAAACCCCTCCTTCCTACAGGAGAGAGAGACGCGGGAGGTTTTGTCACTGTGCAGAGTTTCCCTTGCTGGTGGTTTTTGCACGGTGTGCCAAAAGGTCATTTTCTTCTCACGTCTTTAGCAGCGACAAAGAGATACCGTCATTGATGGCCAACAGTGGACTATGCTGAGATCTTTTCACACCATCTGAGCATCCAGCAAAGGGTCTCTGCCAACTTCCAAGCATGATTCAGAATTGCTCAGAGGTGGGAAACTAGGAACAGTGACCAAACTTCCTATTGCAGTACGTGCTTCTCCAGAGGAATGACTCTGGCTGAGCCAGCCTGGACCCTCTCCTCAGCCCATCTCATAACATCACTCTTCCCTTGCTGCAGTCTGAGTCAGATCCTCATGGTGCTTTTTTTTTCCTCATTTCTTTTTTTCCTTCTTGGCAAGTTTCTAGTACCTGAAGCATTTTGACCCCACCTGGGTGTTACTCAAACGGAATAGGAAAGAGGTATTGGGCAAGTTTGCAGAAGTCCTTTTGTGATGCAGGTGGGGGCAATGGGATAATCTACTCTCTATCCTGATCCTTTAAATACAGCTGCTGAGTCACGTCAACCAGCACTTCTGAGATGCATCCAGTTGATGCAACCAGCTGGTCTTCTGAGGGCAAATTAGGGACTAACTTCCCCAAAACTCTGAACCAGATCAGGAAGAGCAGTTGGGATCTTGAGTCTATCCCCCACATCTTCTTTAAACAATTTCTCGGGTTAGGGTCTGATCCAAAGCCCAGTGAAGTCAAGGAAAAAAACTCCTCCCTTTGGCATCTCTGAGTTTTGGATTCAGACCTGGTAGGGGATGTGGTGGCTGAGAATCAGTCCTCTGTCAGGCGCTGAAGCACCTCTCTGCCAGTGGCAGACATACATGAGCAGGTTTCTGAAAGCTAGTTTTTATTTGTGATGTTCTTTTCTCGTTTTGCCTCATTAGAATAAGTCAAAACTCATCATAACCATTTACCACCAAATGGCAGCTATTGAAATGTCAGGTTTTCAAAGAATAATCTTTTTTCGTGCTCTCTTATTGTTCTTGTTGTTGTCATTCATATAACAATACTAACAATAGTACTACAAAGAAGTAAGTAATCTTGCAAGAGAAGTCAACTCTAGTGAAAGTTTGGCATGGAGAGTAACCAGCCCTGCAGAAATCTGGGTCAGCCTGGCTACACTCGCTGCTCGCCTTTTCCTCACAGATGCTGGTATGGCTTCTGGAGGCAATCAAAGGGGGCAGAAGTTATTACCCGTCGGCTGTCAGAGTGTGTACAGCTGCGTTATTTAGCACCCCATGTGGCTGACCCGCCGATGTGAGAGAAGAACACTGAATATGCTGGATCTGGCTTCCCTCTTCCAGAAGTACATTGTGCTAAAATCCTGCCAAGTAGATGCAGTGACCCTCCTGGTTTTCTTGCTCAAAGAAATTTCTTGGTATCATTTCAATGCTGGAACAAACCAAAAAAAAAAAAAAAAAAAAAAAAAAGAGAGAAAAAAACCCATACCCATTAGTGACTCACTATTTGCTTGAGTTTGTTATTGAGAGCTCAAGATTAATAACATGTTTGACAATCACTTAGCAAAATTCAAGGAATTAGCAAAAGCCATGAAATTATTTACAAACAAATACAACATCCCTCATAAAATGCAGCCCTCACTGAAATGCATTCATCACTGGACTATTTAGAATAAATGTCTAAAATCTGTTGTTAAACTTAGATAAAAATTACATGCACAAGAGATTTACAGGGGAAGAAAACTTTTCTTAATCCTTTCAAGTACAAATCATTCATAACAGATTTTTTTTCTGGTTGTTCATGTGCATGAGCAATTTTCATGCAAAAATTGGGAAACTGCTGATACCAAAACAGGGGAATAACTCTGCCATTAGGGCAGAGCAGACTGTATGTTTGCCAAAGCCCATTCCTATCTTTCCTGGGCTGATCACAAACTCTCGGTTGAGTGTATAGACCACGATCTATTAGCTAGAGATCCAAGGACACCCCTCACTGATTCTAGTGAGGAAGGGGTCAGAGCTGTGACGTTTAAAAACAGAGACGAAACCCCCACTTGCGGTTGCAATTTGCCCTGGAAGGGCAAGCAGAGTGGTGCTGCTGGAGCTTAGCCAAATCCTCTAGATTCAGAGTGGGGTCCCCTTCGCTTCTTCCACCACCAGGAGACATGGGAAATTGTCAAAGACAATTTACCCCCATCCAAAAGTCTGAGTCCACCCTGGGGTGACAGTTCCTGTCCTGTCTGATTTACTAGTTCAGACATAACCCCAATGGCCACAGAAAAGAGAAATGTGGTGAGGTGAGGATGCATTTGTCTGCGATTCATCTAGTGACCGCTGCAAACCCTGCAGGCAGGACAGGGTTTGTGTCCATCCTGCTTCAGGTCCCACATGGGATGGTGGAACAGAGAGCAGATTGCTTTGGCGTTAGTGTGCAGCAAACACATAGAGTCATAGAATGGTTTAGGTTGGAAAGGACCTTGAAGATCATTGAGTTCCAACCCCACTGCCATGGGCAGGGACACCTCCCACTAGACCAGGTTGCCCAAGGCCACATCCAGCCTGGCCTTGAACACCTCCAGGGATGGGGCCTCAACAACCTCTCTGGTCAACCTGTTCCAGTGCCTCACCACCCTCAAAGTGAAAAACTTATTCCTAATGTTTAATCTAAACCTGCCCTCTTCCAATTTGAAGCCATTCCCCCTCGTCCTGTCACTACATGACCTAGTAAAAAGTCCTTCCCCAGCTCTCCTGTAGGAGAGCAAAGAGACTCTCAAGTTCACTTCAGAGAGGAGGCAAAGGTCCAAAGGAGCTAGTTGTCTGTATTTTTCTAGTTTTCCTTTGATCATGGTGTCACTTCTGTTCCTCTTTTCTTCCCATCCTGTAAAGCATCTGGCAATACTCAGGACTCCTATAGACCCCTTCACCTCTCTAAGCCTGCTGGGCTGGCACAGGCCAAGCTGTGCACTGCAATATCCCAACTGACCGGCTCATGTGGGGAGGAATCTCCTTGCTCACCTCTTGGGTAGGTGTCCTCTTCTCCAGTGTCACAGAGATGCTGGGGTTAGACAGGGAATCTCCCACCCTGGCAGGTTCATCTATCTCATGGTACCAGCCCAACACCTCTTCCATTCCCATCCACAGCAGCGCAGTCTACTTCTCCTCATGAGTCCTTCCTACTTGACCTACCTCTTCTCCAGATGGACACAGAGCTGTTAAATATTCCACCAGCCTTGTGTTTCTTAAGGATGACTTTTGGCAGCAGCTTTGTCATTTCTGCTTTGTCTGGATATGTGCAGACGAGTGTTTTTACACCTTCTGTATACTGCTTGGTTTTGGTTCAGATGAGATCATGTCTTGTACTATTCCTCACCATTCCTCAACTCTGCTTCTTCTTGTCTGATACATATTAGAGCAAAATAAGTTCACAAAGACCTCCCAAAACTGAACTCTTCAGCCAGGGATTGGCTTCATTTATCTGTTTATGAGCAATTGGCTGAAAGTTGTAGAACATCCACAGTGCTGGTAAGAATTCTCCATTTTTTAAACTGTGAAAATACCTTAAAAGGGAAGATCTCCAATTTTTATTCCTGTTGATTGTGTGGAGAGACTCAATGGTTCGATTAAAAGTTTTTAAATTTCAGGTCCTGATGTTTCAAAAGGCTAAGAAACCCAATTATAGGTTGGGTTCTTGTGCTTTTTCACTGGTTGATTTTTCTGCACACTTTTCACCTAGAATTCATTGAAAGCTTTAAG